GGCTTGAGTGGCGTGTCATTTAAACGCTGTGAGTGCAAGACCTGTATATAATACAAGAGTAAACATATTAATGTTGGATTCAATACACTTTTTAACAATGAAATCTGTAATGTATTTGACTAATAAAACGCAATATTAAGTTACTTTTTTGTTCTGTTTTGCTTTGATTACATTTATTGCTCATATTTGTATAAATACTTTCGACACAAGCATCTGTGTAATGATTTGCAAATGTAAATATTACATTGTATTTAGATATTAGAAAACTGCAATACACATTTAGATTTTATTACTCAATGATAGTGTTCAAACTAAAGCAATGTATATTGGAAAATTATTGGAACACTATTAAACAGTAATACATTCTAATTATGTATTGCAATGTTCTAATATATAACAACAATCTAATATTTACATTTACAAATCATTACACAGATGCTTCTGTCGAAGGTAATTTTACAAATATGAGCGATAAATGTAATCAAAACAACATTTATTTAAATATTCTGGACAAATACTATGACATTTTGTCATTTATATTATTATTATTTACAATATTATCAGCTTACCTTTGCTGTTACAACTGAGTTGTCACAGTCTGTCTGTAGAAATGAGTACAAATCCTGTACCCAGCCGTTTGTGAAGTGTCCATGGGCTTCTAAAGACTTGTAGTTTCTAAACTGTTCACTTGTGTATGCACTTACACCATAAACAAGGTAGTTTACGATGTCCAGGTAGGAAGTAGGAGGAAGGAAAGAGGGGTCGGCACTCCATTGTTTTGAAGTAATTTCGTATGGATCGATGTCCTGAATAAAGGACAGTTTTTCAAAATAGCGATCTTTGGCATTTTGGTTAAGTTTGTTGCGGTACAACGTCCTCTCCGTTTTCGTGTGTTTTTCTATCCAGATGTATACAAAACTTGTACGGGGCTGTTTTGTCTCTCGAGAGTTGTTGTGTTGTTCATAGAAACGATACCACCAAAATGGCGCACGTGTGACGTCACAAACAACAAACGCACGTGACTGACAATGACCGATTGCACCCAAACTCTAGAACTCTCTACCACGCTCACTCCGCTCTGCTAATAATATCTCTGAATTCAAATCCCGAAGATTTGATTTTATTACAAGAGACAAACTAGAGGGAAGAATGCATGAAGGAAATAAGAAAAAGGTGGAGTGGGGAGATTTTATACAATGATGGGGATGGGAGGCAAGGGAGAGGAGTTGCAATTTTAATAAAAGAAAACAGTGGGTTTTATGTAAAACAATATATAGTGACAAAGAGGGGAAGTGTATGGTATGTGAAATAAAGTATGAAAAGAATAAAGTAATTATGGTGAACGTTCATGCCCCAACAAAGGAGTGCAAAAAGAACGAGTATTTTAATGTACTTAGAGATTATTTAAAGAAACATGAAAGAGTTATTATCATGGGTGATTTTAACACTGTTTTTAGTAAATTAGAAATGGCTGAGGGAAGGGTTTTTAAAACGGAAAAGGGGAGAAAAGAACTGAAAATATTGATGGAGGAAATGAATTTAATTGATGTGTGGAGAGAAAGGAATGAACAGACAAAAGAGTACTCAAGAAGACAGATAGTGGGGAATTTTTGTTGTCAAACAAGAATTGATTTTATTTTATGCACAAGAAATGTTGAAGGGTTTATATGCAAGACCAAATATGAAGAAGCAAGTCTGAGTGACCATAAGCCACTTTTTATGAAGCTTGACTGGAGTAATGTGAAAAGAGGGCCAGGGGTATGGGTTTTAAACACAGCGGTTTTAAAGAATGAAGACTATGTTTTAAGTGTAAAGGAAATTATTCAAAAGGAAAAAGGGAATGAAATCTATAATGAGGACAAAAGAATGTGGTGGGAGAACGTGAAGTATTTAGTTAAAAAGTTTACGATAAAATATTGTAGACAATTACAAAATTGTAAAAAATATAAGGAAAAGGAGCTGAAAGAAAAACTAGAAAACGAATTGAAAAATGAGAATGGAAAAAATATACAAAAGATAAAAGAACTGCAAGGAAGATTAAATGAAATGGAGGAGGAGAAATTTGAAGGTGCAAGATTAAGAAGCAAAGCAAAATTTACAGTAGAGGGGGAAAAGTGCACTAAATTTTTCTTTGATCTAGAGAAGAGAAGAGGGAAGTCAGAAATGATTAGAGAAATAAGGAGCAGAAATGGGAACATAGTAGAACAACATGAGGAGATTTTGGAAGAAATAAGATCATATTATGAGAAATTGTTTTGCACAGAGGGGATAAAAGAAAAAGAAAAAGGGGAATTACTAAATCTAATAAAATCAAGAGTAGAAGAAGGGGAAAAAAGAGAATGTGACGAGGAGATAAGAGAAGAAGAAATAAAAAGAGCAATTAGTGGATTGAACAAAAAGAAAAGTCCAGGAATAGATGGGTTGGGAAGTGAATTTTATATTGTTTTTAAAGATATTTTATCTAGGATTTTAAAGCAAGTATATGATGAAATTCGAGAAATCATTAAATGTTACGGTTTAATTAAGTTGTCTGGGGAAAATAAACGTAACACTTATAATATTAAATTATTTCTGAGTAGATGGATGGAAAATACACCAGGACACCAAAATTTACATTCAATTCATTTATTCCTTTTATGAGGAGAAGAAAAATGAAGCCAACAAAAGAGAGGCTTACATGTGTGCGCTTTGTACAATGTATATATAATAATAAGAAGAAGAAGAAGAAAAGAAGAAGAAATACAATCAAAAGTTATAGGGGAAAAAGGAACTAGAGTGGCGCCAAAGCAAAGAACTAAACAAAACCAAAAGCCACCTAAACTAGAACACAAGATCCCCCTCTAAACTTACTAATAAAAATCAAAATGTGAAAAAGAAACCAAAATCTTCAGCGTTTGCGAAGCAACACCTAAACTCCCTGAAATAATAAGCAAAAATACAAAATGTGGCGCTCACCCACTTACCTAGTGTTTCTGAACATTGAAGTTACCTACGGGCAAAATGTATGTGAAGTGGCTTAGTAAACTATTCCCTTTTCCCCAAAAAGGAATGATAAACTATTAACCATGACTTAATTTACATCGATGTAGTTATTCAGAAACACAGAACAAAGCATACATTATAAATAACAGCAAGCGAACACAAACCAACACGCACACACATAGCACTCTGAAAAACAAGGCGGGCTGGTCGAATTTAAAGTCCGTGGAACGAAATCCAATTGGTCCACGAGGAAACGCCCTAATGAGGAGTGACAGGCACGGGATCCAATCAGCAGGTACCTAGTAGAGAAAAAGTAGCGGAACAAAAGGTGATAGGGCGAGACAGAGCGAATGACAGTCGAGGAGATGCGAAGAGAGCGAAGGGAGATAAGCAAAACAGAGAGGGAGAAGGCACAAAAATACAAACTCCCACGGACCGTAACAATCATCCTCCAGCCCCGGGCTACCTCTCGTAAGCAGGGTGAGAGAGGAGTATGAGCTCAGGTAGATCTTGATGAACTCCCCCGACTTGTTTCTGTTCTAATGACAGATATCCAGATGGCTAAAGGGAGATATATGGCTTCTAAGAGCTTGACTACGGTGCCAATTTAGAATGTTCAGTTTACTTAGGTTACGTGTTTTTGGGCTGTGGAAGGAAACTGGGGAAAACCCATGTGAGCATGGGGAGAATAAGCAAACTCTCCACAAATATCAACCAGTTCAGTGAGGGCTCTTCTTGCTGTGACAATCTTTCTGTGAGGCAACAATACTAATCACGGGGCTGCTGTGTTGCCCATTCTAGAAAGGAGGAGTAGGGGTGGGAGGGAATTTCCTCAAGATAAAGATAATTAAGGTAAGAAACTCTGGTTATTTATAGTGAGTTAGGAATCGTCTGATTGGTGAATCATGTGTTGGTTAATGTGGAACCAGCCGTGGACAATCATAAGCATGTGATCCTCTCGAAAGTAGTTTATAAATAAACCTCACGTCAATTAACAGCCAAACTACATGAAAAGGCTGCTGTTATGAATATACTCGTGTTTGTGTGGACAAGGCCTTAATTTTGAGGACTCTGCTCTCCATTGTGAAGCTCCATGTGATTGCTGAGGCTTCTTTTATGTTTAAAGCCCTTTCCACACTCAATGCATATAAAACGCTCTCGTGAGTGAGTCTTCATGTGGTTCTTTATGGAGTATTTGTGTGTGAGACTCTTTCCACACAGATCACATGTGAACACTATGGTTCCAGTGTGACCATTCATGTGGTTCCTGAGGTTAGCTTTACATGTGAAGCTCTTATAGGCGCAAAAAGAGCTTGGTTTTCCTCCAGACCACCAAAATTAAATATTCTCAAAGGAATATGATCTGATTTTGAGCCAAAACCTCAGACACATTCTGGGAACACCAAAGACTTATTTTCAAAAAAATAAAAAATAATAATATTAATAAGTTTTTCTTAAAAAAAAAAAAATAATAATAATAAAGGTTCATAATAGGAACCCTTTAAAGATATTTATGAAACAGAAATGAAAATAACCTCACCATTTACTATACCTCTTGTGGTTTTTAACCTTTATGGGGTTTGTTGATTCTGTTGAACACAAAAGAAGATATTGTGAAAACAAATGTTAGCTTTCTTTGTGTTCCAGAAGAAAGGAATTGTTTAAAAGCAAATGAGAGAGTAAATGGTAAGGTCATTTATATTTGTGGGTGAAACATCCATTTCATGCTTATCGCTTTGAGTCTTCATACTAAAGTTAACTTCTTCTTTTTTTTTAAGACCTGATGTTGCTGAAAGAAAAGACTCATCAACAGAATGAAATGGAAGAGATACAGCAAGACATGACGACTGATGAAAAACCTACACTGACGAAAAAGACTTTGTCACGTGGAAGACCTCGGAAATTCAAACCTAGGTGTGATTTCAGCTGTAAACAATGTGGAAAAAGTTTCAGTCAAAAGCCAAAGCTTGATGTTCACATAAGAGATCACACTAGGGAGAAAGCTTATACTCACAGCAAATTCATTGGTGTTAAATTTCAAGTGTTGTGGTAATTCAGAGTAAAGTGTTAAAATTCTAGAGTTAGATATCTACCTTTGTAGAAAACCCTTGTATTTGAGAAACTAATCAGAGTGTCTGAAATCTCGCCACACCCTCATTCACCTGGCCCTTAAATTAGTCAATTAGTTTAGTCCACTAGACAGAGGGAATGACCACAAATAAGTGAATTCAGACAGCTGCTGTTGAACACCTGCTGTTAACAAATACAATCACTGAAGGAATAAGAAATTGAAGGAAGAAATGAAACTACAGACACAGCCTCACACCAAACCAACTGAATTAAAACAGAGGATTAAACAACTCCATTAAATAATAGCATAAGCAGCTTCACTGATTACAGTTTGACTTCATTTCTGTAAGAATATTTGACAATGAACAGAGGTTTATTTATTTTTTATTAAAAATATTTCATTTGACCTCACCATCATAGAGATCAGAGGCTGCTTATTTGAGCTCTTGAAGCTTTACTCTTATATCCTAATAATTCTCTGACTGTTATAGCTGTGTTTCTAAAATGCATCAGTTATAGAAAGAAAGGTCAAGAGAAACTATACTGTTTATGCCTAATTATTATAGATTTAATTTCAGGTGTTTATTAAGTTGATTCATAAAGATATTCAAATATAATTGAATTAAAACTGCATGGGACAATACTTCTGGTAGTCTGCTGCTCTTCATAGAAAATTCAACAAACAATTAGGATGCAATTAATAATTAAAGTGTCACGCACTAAACATTCAAGCTCCAGCTTGCTATTTATGACACACAGGCATCAAGAATCAGGACATGAACCTCAACCGTGGTTGCTAAAAAACAAAAGCTGCATAGTTCATGCTGCAATGCATGCTGGGTGCCAGCATAGTACAAAGCTCCCAGCATGCATTGCAGCATGAATAAATTATGCAGCTTTATGTTCTTACAATCTCTTTCTTTTCCTTTATTTTGTGTTGTTTTTGGGAGGTGATATTTCAGTAGTGTTTTTTTTTTTTTTACTTGATTTTTATTTTTTTGTTTGTCACCATTATTGAGATTCAAAGACTAATTGTTGATGTCTGTGTGTTTTTGAGTTCTGCCATAGATCAAACATTCTCATTGTAAATATTGTTTTTATTTTATTAAAGCTATAGTGGTTTCATTTATGTATATTATTTATTTCTCACACATAACTAATATGATATTGAATTAGAAAACAAGCAGGAAAGAAAGACTATGTTATCATTAATAATCTCTTCAGACTGACACTTTAATTTTCTTTCAGCTTTCCATGCTATATGTATAAATAGTGTAATTAGCACTAACTATAGCAGCCAAATTAAAGACATTTATAGTAAGAAGTTGAAGAACCTGACTAAAGCAGACTCTGTCCTCCATCATGGTGACTTCAAATGAACAACGGAAATTTCATTAAGAGCTTTTGTTCACATGACAGAAATAAAATCAAAGGTCAGTAATAGGTGAAGCTCCATGATAAGTTGTTTAATGTGATGAGTTTTTTTAAAGATGTTGAAAAATAACATTTTTTATTGTGTAATTTGTTTTATTTTTATTGATTATTATTTTATTTAGAGTTTTTTTTTTCTCAGTTGATTTCATCTTTGGTTTTGGCTTGTGTTTTTCTGTCCTTCAGTGATTCTGCTTGTTAACAGTTGTTCATCAACAATTCTCAATCCTCCTTTAATTAGACACTTAATTGTCTCATTAACTTCATCACTGTCTGAGTGTTCAGCCCTCTGTAGTGAGGACACTAGTTAGGATTTTGCTGTGGAATTTAAGGCTTAAGTGTGTTCGAATGAAAAATACAGACTATGGGATTTGTTTTTAACAGAAATATTCTGGAAACTGAATTTACGAATGTAAAATGTTGAAAACAGCAGATTTCTGGCAACCACTGCTGCCAGTATTTTGACATACATTTAACAGATATTTTACACAATAAGAGTTTGCTAATTAACACTCTGGGTGTTAAAAATTTTAACACTTTCAAAAATGTTATTTTAACACTTATAGTGGTTCCCATATAAACACTGAGGGAGTGCTAATTTTAACTCTAAGGTAGTTAAATCTACCAAATCTAAAATTTGCAGTGTGAGATCGATAAAAAATACAGACTGTTGAATGTGCTTTTAACAGAAATATTCTGTAAACTGAATTTATGAATGTGAAAAACAGCAGATTACTGGCAACCACAGCTGCTGGTATTTTTTCGGAAATTTAACAGATATTTTACACAATAAGAGTTTGTTAATTAACACTCTCTTGGTGTTGACAATGTTAACACTTTCAAAAGTGTTATTTTTAACACTTATAGTGGTTCCCATATAAACTCTGAGGGAGTGTTAATTTTAACTCCAAGGTAGTTAAATCTACTATCTAAAATTTGCAGTGCATTTGCCATTAGGGCTTTGGTTATAAAAAGGCATCCTCAAAACCAACAGTTTCAACAAAATGGAGAATGTGTTCATAACACTGACTGATCGCCAAGGAACATTATCATTAACTGTCTCCAAAGAAATTGCAGAAAAAATAAAGCAAGGTAAGAACATAAATAAAATTCATTGACTATCTAGTACTAATACTTTGATTTTTGTAAATTAAACTTTTTAATTGTCATTTTATTTTATAGATCACAAATATGCAGCATGTCTAATGCAGCAAGTGAGATCTGCAACACTGAAAGAAGGTAAGGTTGTTGGTAATCACAATTTTTAAATTCTTATAAGATTTATTAATTTTAAATTTTTTTTTATTTTGCAGATAGTAGTCATCATCCAGCCTCTTTGGCACCATGTCCCCCTTTAGCTACAAGTCATTGTACAGTGTCTTTGACCAAATGCCCTCCGCCTCCAGTCATTACTCCTTCAGTCACGATCCACAATCCTACACCTTTGTCCCAGTGCCCCCCTCCAAAGATCACTCCTGGTCCAGCATTTGTTAAATGTTCTGGTAAAACAAAAACCATAGATCTCACTAAAGCCCCACAAGGACCCAATCTTCAGATACATTTAAAACAGACAGAATGCGACAAAATCCAAGGTATGTTCCATTTCAAAATGCATATGTAATCTTTCTGTAAAGCTTTTTCTAAATTACAAATTGTTTTCACAGAATTCACACACAGGACCACACTGCTGCTGCTTGACCTCACACAAGCAAACATGCAGTTATATTATAAAAACAAAATAGCTTTTTATAAAAAGATTGAGCAAGACTTTAAAGTAAATGGTTACAATATGACTAATGAGAAACTTAGAAAAAAACTTGGTAACATGATTACCACGTATAAAAGAGCTAAGGACCGGTGCCGAGCAACAGGGGAGGAAAAAATAACTTGGGAGTACTACAAGGTTGGCATTCTTTATGTATTTCAACTGCTGCAGAATGATTTGGTTGACTTTTTAAAATATTTTGCATTAATTTGTTTTTATATACTTTCTCACAGAAAATGGAGGAGTTATTTGGTAAATGTGGTGTTGGGAGTGCACCACCTGGCACAATCTGCTCAACTACTCTGTTCAAAACATCCGTGACAACAGCTCCACAGTCTCTGATACCAGCATCAAGTTCAGAAGAACATCTTCCTCCAAATCAGCCTGGTCCCTCCACTGCTTTCCCCTTTAAAGAGAGACCCCAGAAGAGAGTTGGAAGCTTTTATATGATGTTTATGAGGCACATGCAGAGAGAAGAACCGCTGCATTAGAAGCAGCAGTGCAGCCTCACTTGGACTGCCGAAGAAGGCTCAAAGAAAAAAGATGAAGGGTGTTTGAAAAGAAAACTCTATCCTGCCTTTCAGAAATAGTTCAACAGCTAAAACAAATCAACAAGTCGCAAGAAATGATAATTGAGTTGTTAAAAAAATAAAGCATAAATGTAAACCCACTCCCATGTTTATTTTTTATTGGTCAGCACACACCATTATTATAGTTTAAAGATTTTCTTTCCAAAATAAAACTAATAACATCACTTTTTTCATGTCAGGAGGCAAAATTATATATATATATTTATTATTATTAATTTTTTTTTATAACTGTTTAATATTATTCTGTACAATCCCATCTACCATTTCACAAAAAAAAAAAATTAAAATCCTTTGTGCAAAAGAAAAGTGTATTTTTATTTTTATTTTTTAAGGCAGAGTGGAAGGGAAAGTAATGCTTACAGGAGGCCACAGATTGAGTCCCTATACTGCGACACATCACCGGGAATGTGGCCTTCTGATGGATATGGTTCATCCATATCATTGGCCTGCTCATCAGCTGCTATGTCACTGCATTCCAGGCACATATTATACAAAATGCAGCATGCTGTGATTGCAGAAGATATGTTCTTGAGATGTTTCATTTGTAGACATTTGAGCCGCCTAAATTTTGTTTTTAGGATGCCAAATGCATGCTCAATCACAACACGAGCAGAATTCAATTTCCTGTTAAAACGCCTCTGTCTAACTGTCAAGTGGCCATTGTCCCTGTATGGCTTCATTAGTTGAGGGGAAAGCGGGTATGCTGAGTCACCAATTATATGCATCCCCTCTGGAACCAGGGAATGTGGATCTTCCTCAAGAAGGTGACCCACTTCCGACAAACGAAAGGCCCTTGAGTCATGCCAGCTACCAGAGTGACCCACACTGACATGACAGAAGCGCCGCTGACTGTCACAGAATCCTGTAAGAATAACAGAATAAAACTGTTTTCTGTTAATGTAGGCCACAGGATTGTCACAGTGAGGTTTTACAATGGGAATGTGACATCCATCAACAGCACAGATGGTTTTCGGGAAGCCAGCTGTTTCAAATCCCAACTGTGATACATGCAGGGCTTGTCCTCTAGGCCAGGAGATATGGTGAGCCAAATGATTTATTACAAGAGAACAGAACCCATGCAGGTGTTTTGAGACAGTGGATTTTGTTAGATTAAATCTGTCTGCCACTCCTCTATAGGACTCTTGATTGGAAAGAGTCCATAGAGAGGCAAGTATACTGTCTGTGAGTGGCACCTTGGTCTGATTCGCATTCATGTAAATCGGGCCAAGTGCATTTATAAGCTCCTGCATTAGGAATAGAAAAAAATATGATTAACATAATACAAACAATGCTTTTGTATACAACAGCACATAAGTTGAAGCCAACCTATCCATTGGTCCAAGGCTAAATTGTTTTAATGTATAATTTCATGCATTTTCTGACATAATATAGTAAATGTAGATGAAACAACCCAAAACATTGCTTGGAGATTTTTTTTTTAAATGGGTGAATAAATAAATGAACACATATACACACACACACCAATGAGAACGGTGTGTGTATACAATATATACACATTTTAGTGCTGGACCAAGATTAATAAAAATTTGTATTCACATATTTGTGCTCACTGTGTATATTTATTGTGTATATATAAATGCATTATACATTTAAGTGTGTGTGTATGTGTGTATATATATATATATATATATATATATATATATATATATATATATATATATATATATAAAGTTTATACACCTATCTACCATACATACCTCCACATGGCCTCTAGAAAGTCTGAAATGACTCTGAAACTCAGAGGGACTATATAGATGGACCACTTGATCAACAAAAGGCTGAATTCTAGGGACATTCCTAGCAAAAACACAACCAAATTTTGTTACACTTATGACCTGTGTCAGACAAAAGCAACATGACTTAATGATCTTAGAATTCTTTTTTTTTTAAATTTAAGTAATGAGCACTTTTCACCTTTGGCAATTTTGACCATCTTCATGTAATAACAGTGGTATTTTGATTGCGTCCACTACACAAAAAACGCGAACGCGATCTCCTCCATTGCTGACGTTTGCAGCCGGCAACACAGCGAGATTCGGGTAGTGTCCGACTTCAAATGACGCTTTTAAACCCTCCTCTTATTGACGCCGCCTACTCTCGTCTACATTGCAGTCAAGGCAAGGCGCACCTCAAACGAGCCTATTGACGTTATGTGAGAGTACAATTGTTATTGATTGGTGATTGTAAACAGAGCGGCCGAGGAACTCATTGCGAGTGTTCAAGCTGGTTTCAGCTGATAAAACTGCAAACTATCTTCAGTAAACTTGATTTATTTATTTAAATCTCTGACTCCGGCTCTTTTTTAAATATCCGACTGGTCATTCTTTGGGTTAAACTGTATACCATCCCTACAGTTTTGGTGGAGGACGCGTGGCACTTGTTTACTGGTGACACCATTGATCAATCAACAAAAAGAAATGTAGGAAGATTTAAAATATTATAGACTAGGGGTGGTCTGTGGAGTAGTGGGTACACAGCAAATTCATTGGTGTTAAATTTCAAGTGTTGTGGTAATTCAGAGTAAAGTGTTAAAATTCTAGAGTTAGATAAAGGTAAAATAACCCTCTCGGCGTTAGAAGCTGATTTGCCTCCTTGTCACACAGAGTAACATGTATCTGCCTTTGTAGAAAACCCTTGTATTAGAGAAACTAATCAGAGTGTCTGAAATCTCGCCACACCCTCATTCACCTGGCCCTTAAATTGGTCAATTAGTTTAGTCCACTAGACAGAGTGAATGACTATGTAAATAAGTGAATTCAGACACCTGGGGCCTGTTTCAGAAAGGAGGTTAAGTGAAAACTCAGAGTATTTTAACCCTGAAATGAGAGAAACTCTGGGTTTTCCGTTTCAAAATGGCAGGTTTGTTAAACTGGACAAAGCAGGGTAAGTCAAGCCTGTTTCTGAAAGAAAGGTAACTTTAACTCAGAGTCAGTTACCGTGGTAACTTACTCTGTGAATCTAACCTGGTCCAGAGCAGGTTTTATTCTCTAAACTCTGAGTTTCTGTCGGTCTCCTCCCCTTTTTTAAAGATGAAGCGGTGTTTCTTGCCTTAGCCTTACGTCTCCACACACCTATTTTAGAGCTCATTTTGGAGATGTGCATAAAAACGATTGATGGAAACGTCGTGATTCACATAACTTTTGAAAAAAATGCATAATAAAACATGTGCATAACTGAGTATTTTAAACTTTTATTTGATAAGAAAAGATGTGCATAAAATATGAAGAAAACACTTAACAAATTACAGTATGTGCATTAAAAAAAGGTTTGTTAGAGATGATGAAAATGTGTGTGAATAGACAAACCAGCAGACTGAGGAAAGGACATCTTAAATGTTGTTTTGGTCATTCTAAAATGCCTTAACTGTTTCAGTATTAGTGTATATTAGTAATTACCTCCGAGCGTCTGGAGCGTGTCAAGATCTCCGCGTCTCATGGCTTCAAATGCCCCCACGTGATCATTGTGTGTCAGCATTGTCTTCTGAGGCGCAAGTACATTAATTAAATAAAAAATCATTGCCACAGCTTTTTCTACCACAGTAAATTTTGTTTTTACTGTTGATATTTGGCACAAGTTAATCAGGAAGTGACGATTGTGTTCTCTTTGACTTGTTGGATGAAAACGCTGATTTATTCACATCTTCTAGGCGTTATTTCAGTTTTGCACGAATTTATGTATTATATTTTGATGGAAACAGATATTGCCTACATTTTTGTCACACAAAGATCAAAGTCGCGAAAGAGAATGGCTTGTCCTTTTTCATTAATAATTAGCTTAACCTTTGACATGTACTATTACTAGATTAACGGGATTTTTATTTTTTTTTAAGTATTTTTAGCACTGCTTACCTTCTAAATGTTATATCAAACTCTATCACTTGATCAATAAAAAGGCAGACATACAAGTGCACTGTTAAATCTATTAAAACTGATAAACGTGTATAAAAGTTTAGAAACATTTTATAAACGTCACACATTATATTACTTATTTTATTATAAATATAAATATTTAAATACTTTAAATAAAAAATTATGCATTAACTTGAGCAGCTGTTTTCTCACGCTGTCTCTGTTTCACTGATAATTGCTTCTTTTTAAATATATACGCTCATATTTGCTATAACTTTGCATTAGCAGATCAAATTCAGCCGGAGAAAGAAATGCTGATCTCTTTTTTTTAAGATGTTGCCATGGTCACTCGTAATATCTGCGCTCCATTGATAATGCCTATTTATAGTCACGGTGTGCGCGCTTAACTCTGAGTTGGTCTACTCAAAGTTGATTGACCCAACTCAGATCAGCTATTCTGAAACCGAAAACTCAGAGTTTTTAATCTCTCTGTAAATCAACTCAGAGTTCAAGTTTAAACTCCGAGTTGTTTGAACCTCCTTACTGAAACAGGCCCCTGGGGCCTGTTTCAGAAAGGAGGTTAACTGAAAACTCAGAGTATTTTAACCCTGAAATGAGAGAAACTCTGGGTTTTCCGTTTCAAAATGGCAGGTTTGTTAAACTCGAGAAATCAGGGTAAGTCAAGCCTGTTTCTGAAAGAAAGGTAACTTTAACTCAGAGTCAGTTACTGTGGTAACTTACTCTGTGAATCTAACCTGGTCCAGAGCAGGTTTTATTCTCTAAACTCTGAGTTTCTGTCGGTCTCCTCCCCTTTTTAAAGACGAAGCGATATTTTTTGCCTTAGCTTTAGTCGTTCATTACCTTCATTTCAGTCACACAAAGAACAATGGCCTGTCCTTTTTTGGAAGATCCCGTAGATGAAGAGGCTGTATTAATTCGAAGAGAATTACATTTACGTCGAGCAAGGATTTTGAGACCCAGAGTGGATTTTTTGTCTTTTCCACATACATTTTTGTTTGAGCGGTACCGTTTTTCGTTGCAATCAATTACATATATCCATAATCTAATCCGTCCTTACATCAGTAACATCACCTATCGTGGCCGTGCTCTTACATCCGAGCAGATACTATGTGCAGCTTTACGTTTCTTTGCTAATGGAAGCTTTCTGTACAATATCGGGGATGCGGAGCATATTAGTAAGGCTACTGTATGCAGAGCTGTACGGAAAGTGTGCCTTGCTCTGAAACGCTTTCTGCACATTTTTGTAGTGTTTCCTGGCCACAAACCCCTGGAAGTCATCAAGGAGGAATTTTACAGAATTGCTGGTTTGTAGCATTCAAGCTGGTTCAAATGTATTTAATATGAAATATATATATAAATAATATATAAATAAATAAATATATATATATATATATATATATATATATATATATATATATATATTTATTTTTATATATATATATATATATATATATATATATATATATATATATATATATATATATATATCAGAATTAGTTAATAACATTTTGCTGTGACCTCTGAAAGTATTGTAATATTTAAAATTACCTTTAGGATTCCCCAATGTGGTTGGATGCATTGACGGCTCACATATACCTATCATTGCACCAACTGAAAATGAGTCAGACTATGTTAACAGGAAGTCAATCCACAGTATTAATGTGCAGGTACGTTGAGTTATGCAGTTTAAATTGTTTAAACAACACATAGCAATACTATATCTCATATCTTATTCTTTCCACTGTGAAGATTATATGTGATGCTGCACATATTATCACTAATGTTGAAGCCAAGTGGCCTGGCTCTGTTCATGACTCACGGATATATCGTGAGTGTACCCTAAGCAACAGACTGCAAAGTGGTAAGTTAATGTATGAACTACACACTTGGGCATTTTAATGCAGCACTAAACCAATGTGTCTTTTTTTTTACAGGGGAGATTGATGGCTTTCTGCTGGGGGATAGGGGTTACCCATGCCAGCCTACACTGCTAACCCCTTACCCAGAACCTGAGCAAGGGCCACAGCAGCGCTTCAATGTGGCACACTGCAAAACTAGAGGCAGGGTGGAAATGACTAAAGGCCTGTTGAAAGCACGTTTCCAGTGCCTACGTCACCTCAGGGTCACCCCTGAGAGGGCCTGCGACATTATTGTGGCATGTGTAGTTCTCCATAATATTGCCATTTTTAGAGGGGAACCACATCCTGCCCTACACATACAAGCTCCAGAGGAAGACCCCATCCACCCTGCAGATTTCCAGGATGGAAGGGTGGTCCGAGACCTTATATGTCACAATTCATTCTCTGATTAAATCAGCCACCACAAAAATAAAAAAATAAAGAAATAAATCAACAAGTCACAACAATTTATTTAGTCTTCTTTATTTCCTACAAATTAAAAAGCAACTGTTAAATTTCTGTATTCTTTTCAAACTTTTTCATAATCCACTAAAAAACAATATACACCTTACCTGTAGCTTGTGTTTCAGGATCTCGATTTCCAAATCGCTCTTTAGGATCTGCCGATCCAAGTATATCATTTCTTTATTAGTTTTTTCAATTTGTTTTAGCAGATGCAGCCTATATAACTGCTTTACTGGTAACTGAAAACACAGTAGTTTAGGGTTACGTTATGTTGTACATGACTTCCATTGAATTAAACTCTGGCATTTACTGTACATCACTGAACTGTGTTCATGTGCGCAGAAGAAGTAGATGGACCCTCCTCCTCCACCTCCTCTTCCTGTTGTTCCTCACTCTGGAAGGTGGTGATGGGGAAGACAAGAATATGTTTATACTTAGAGATACTTACATAGCTTACTGAACACAAAAATGTGAGGAGTTGATTGTACAGATTGTTTGATGCCTACAGACATAAAATTACCTCTATAGGCCTCTCTGTATGAGCAGAAATGGTGTCATCATCCACTTCATCCTGAGCAAATGAGCATTTGGTTGAGCACACTTTATACTATTACTTAGCCTACTCAATACACAAGAAATTAGGATACTTACAACTGCCTGGGGATTTGTTAAGAAAGTAGGCTCCAAAAGGCAGATATTGCCATCACAATCTATTGAGACCAATGCAAAAATGAAAGTAAATTAATTTATATATATATATATATATATATATATATATATATATATATATATATATATATATATATATATATATTTATATCTGTGTGTGTGTGTAGCCCTTTTACATTGTATGTAGGCACTTGTGTCCTGGGGAGTAACAGGCTCTGAAGAACACCCTGTAGGTATTCCCTCAGCCACTGGCCTTCCAGTGTTCTGACTCAGGGCCATCTCCTCAGCATTAGTAAGGGGTTGTGGTGCAGGGCCTCCTCCTGTCTTGCGAGCCTCTGCCTTCTTTCTGTTGGCTGAAGAGACGTCCAATAAAAAAAAAAAATAAAAAAAGCACTGCATAAATACCATTACACATTTATTGGCATTTACATGATAAATTTCATTTGTTAAAAAAAAATTATGACATTATCAAACCTTACCTGATTGAATTATGTTTTTATATTTCATTTTCAGCTGCTGCCATGTTCTTTTAATGCCTGCAGGATTGCACCTACATGAAAATTACAATTAGATTTAATACCATAGTTTTAATTTTTACCTTTCATATTATAGCAAAAATAAAAATACAAAAATGATAATATATAATTAGCTTAAATAAACTGACCTTTGACAGGGACATGTGCTGTAACTACATTAATGAGATTATTACTCGTTCTAAAAACTATTTTTTTATACTGCTTACATTCTAAATGTCATATCAACCTTTATCTCTCGATTCATAAAAAAAGACAGACACACACTTTTAAATGTCAATTTTAAAAAGTTTATCTTAAACTGATCAATGCGTGTAAAAGTCGGAACATTAAATAAAAAAATTCTACTGAACAGTAAGTTAAAGTTATAGGCTTATGCATTCTTGTTTTGTAAAAAATTGTTGTAGAAACTATGCAGTAGCCTATTTAATGTAATGTAATGCAATAACATCTGCTTCAAATAAATAGCTGCAAAATTACCCTCGTTTTCAAATAAAACTTCAATTTACTTAAAATGCTAAAATAATCAAATACTTTAAATATTTTAAATGTAAACTTACGCATTAACTTGAGCAGCTATGTTTTCCCACGCTAACTGTCTCTGTTTCGCTGATGCAGTGGTGCATCAATTCATTTTTTTAAATATATGCTCATATTTGCCATAGGCTTGCATGAGCACATCTAGTTCCGCTGGAGAAAAAAAATGCTGATCTCTTTTTTTCATATCTTTCCATGGTGACTCGTAATATCTGCACTCCATAGATAATGCCTTTTTATAGTCACAGTGTGCGCACTTAACTCTGAGTTGGTCTACTCAAAGTTGATTGACCCAACTCAGATCAGCTGTTCTGAAACCGAAAACTCAGAGTTTTTAATCTCTCGGTAAATCAACTCAGAGTTCCAGTTTAAACTCCGAGTTGTTTGAACCTCCTTACTGAAACAGGCCCCTGATCACGGTGCGCATTTGGATGCCGAGATAAGATATTCTGAGAAACTCACACAAACGACGGACCACAGCCATACAATTATAAGGCTTTGGACAGACCAGCAGACAGAACAGCAGTCAGAGAAGCGTAATTTAACTCTATTGTGAGGGAGAACAGAGCAGGTTCATGGTGAAACCAGAGGTGGCTTACAGACAGATATGTAAGATAACGAAATCTTATCTGGCAATAGCAAAGCTAGTATTGATCATCTATAAGTATTAATACTTACCAGTAACAGAAACTAAAGAGCATTGATTTCAATAGTTTATTAATCAGTTACTAACTCATTCTGAATGATTTTAAAAACCTCTAACCTCTCTTAAATACAAATGGTTTGTAAATAATGCAATACTTAATTTAGGAATGAAAAGTAAATCATTAACAAAGTATGAAAGTAGAATTATTAAGCACATTATAATTGTGGTTGTAAGTCAAGAGTACAGCATTTGTAGCTGCAGTTATAAACTGCTTACTAATGTTTATTAATGTAGAGTTAATGCTTAACAGATAATAAATTCATTAGATGCTAATGCTTAATAAATGGCTTATAGTGTGTAGTTATTATAGTGTTACCCAAACTTCAGTTTTTCAAATGTTGTTTTTCTTCTACTAGATGAATATTCCTCATATGTGAATATAAAGTGCCTTTCCTCATTGACTACAGAATATTTTTACGCTTCTTCAAGTGGTTCCAAACTTTTATGACTTTCTTTCTTCTGTTGATCACAAAAGAATATATTTTGAAGAAAGCAGAAAACCTGTAACCATTGACTTTTATAGTAGGAAAATAGATACAATGCAATTCAATGGTTTACAGTATATAAAAAAGGAAGTCAAAGGAAATGTTTGAGTTTTACCTGCCTGCCTTATATAGAAATATTCCAGTAATTTTTTGCCCTTCTATTACTTTTTGTAAACAGATAATACCATGTATAATTAAGATATAATATAATAATCTACCTGATGAATAAGGTGAGGGTCTGAGGCTACTCTGTGAGCCAAAGGGAAGCACAGTTGAGTGAGAGGCCCGTGGAGAGAAAGCCTTCAGCTCCTAGTCAGCATCACTGCTGCAGATGCGTCTCCCAACGCCTTATAAACACACCACATGACAATAAATTAATTAGCTAAACAAAAGCTGTACAAAGTGCTGTACTGCAGGCTACTCCAACATAAACACATTGCGTTGCTTCTAATTACTCAAATAATCATGCTTACTGATTTGAAAGCTTGTACTTATCGGATTCATCCCATTTTACTAACACAAATGAACTAAAATAGCAATGGGGAACTTGTGGACTTGATATGGTGACAGGCTGGAGTTTGTGCAGTTCCCATAAATGCAATAATATACTACGATGATGATAATTTTCACCAAAACTAACAACCAGTGCTACTCTACTTCACTGTTAACAGCATGCGCCTGTCAGATCAGTCTCCTTTCTGACGTCACCGAGGTGGTTTAAAAAAAAAGCGGATTTTCCGAAAGAGGGAAAACAGACTTTTTTTTTTATTTGTGCCCCTGCGCTTCGTAAAACATTTTTATATGGTATTTTATAGTATTATAGAGTATTTTCACAAATGATTCTACCTTTTTTTAAATAGTTTTTTTAACCTACAATATGCGCTTTAATATTTGCTCTTTATATGAGAAATAGGCTGTAATGTTTAAGCGGGCCTAAATGCATCTCCCGAATATCCTACTCAGTGATGCTGAACTGTTTGCCTTCTTTAAGACTTTCTATTGTATCACTTAAGCTAAAACTGCATGAAATGATATAAAAGAGAAGTGCATTTGGTAATGCGTGCTAAGACGTGTGATGCACACAGAAATATGTGCTCCATACTGAATTAGCTTCTCTTTCATCTAATGCAGCTTGAATGGTTTAAAACTATTACAACTGAATATTTTAAACACAACTGTAAAGAAACCTGGCTTCCTAAAACATGTTTTTAAAGCTCACAGGAACATTGTATGTATGGTGCTTTCTCAATTATGAAAGCATCTCTAAAAAGTTGTTGTTATCTGATGTGGGGCCAGAGTAGGCCATGTTATTTTCAGTTTTTTTTTTTTTTTTTTATTTTATTTTTTTTTATAAATTTGCAACGATTTCAAATATATATATTTTTCACATTGTAATTTTTAGGTAACGTGTGTAGAATTTGAGGGATTGAATATATTTAATCTATTCTGGAATAAGGCTGTAACAAAAAAAAAAAAGTGCAAAAGTTAAAACGCTATGAAAACTTTCCGGATGCACTGTACATTAAAACTTCCAGTTCTTTCCAAAGCATTAGAAAAGGTTGTATTTATAAAACTGCAGTCTTTTTTAGATCTACATGGGTTTTAAGAAGTGTTCCAGTCTGGTTGTGGCAGTAATGCACTTTCCAAGTTGAGTTCCTGACAGGCAATAAACCAGGAAGAAGAAGAAAAGGAAGAAGAACTGAAAGAGTCAAAGCTCAGAGAGAGTCAAGAGCTCAGATTGTGTTTCTGCTGCACAAGAGCTTCTGTACTTCTGCATGTAAGTTTGATACTTCTACCATTGCGTTTATTTGTGGATGAAGGGATTTTAAACATGTAAGTGATAAATTTGATTTAAATGTCTGTCTGATCCTGATGCTCAAAGCCTCAAACACTGTTTGATCATGGTGTAAAATATGGACATTTTAACACTGTGTCTGAACACTTTATTTCTTAATGTTATGAAATTGTTTTTAATCATTAATATCATGCTCACTCGATAAATCAGCAGAAAATATAACTTTAAATTTACAGTTATGAAATTGAAAGACAAGTTAAACCAGCCCTAATAGTTAAACAGGAAGAAAAACTGCTGACGTTCCTTAAAATGTATTTGTCAGCAGACGTTTTTACTGCCAACTAACAAACTTAATATATAAACGAGCAATTGGCTTAACCTGATCTTATCTTAATAAACTATATACATATATCATACATCAAATGTGAAATATGAGGTGTCAGAGGTCTGTAGATCCGTGTAACGCTTTGCAGTGCTTTGTTCAATTCACGCCGTCAAAATTAAACAAATGAAAAATGCATTTCAAACTTTCATTTTCCATTTTTTCTGAGTACTTCAACAAAAGATAATTGTCACTCGGTTTAATTTTCAATTATACAAGTTTGTGTTGTTGCATTTGAATCTGATCTCAGGGGTCGGTTCTTTGTACGTGGATTACTCAGTTAGCTGGATTTGGATATTGACGATTTGACACGATCCAGGACCGTTTCGTTCTTCAAAGCTGATCTGAGAGTTGTTGTCATAGCAACAGTTCTGCTAGGTCAAAACTGATCGGGAGCAGGTTCAATTCATATAAACAGGATTAGATCGGCTCAGTTCAAGCAAAGATAATACAGAAAGTATGTACCGAATTCTAATATTTTCTTACAGTAGAAGTTACACTTGGGACAATGGTAAATATTTTAAAGTTATACATATTAATAAAACTTATGCAATCTGCACTTTAGAAATGAAAGTACAAAGACTGTGTCGTAAATTCCACTTTTCATCAATTAGAAATTATCAGACCGGAGGTTTTGAATATCAGAAAATAGACTTTATTCTCCATAATAAAGCCGAGAAAGAGCAGAGCAGACCCCAGAGCATTCTGAAGTCTCTCCTGGACACCTTCTGAAGTCTCTCCTGCACCTTCTAAAGTTTCAGTGTGTTTGTTACAATTTTTATACAGGATTATTTGACACACCCCTAAGTCTCTTTTTAACTCTTGACCATTTTTGAATAGGTTTCTAGTCTAAGGGGTCCTGCTATTCTTGGCTCTCAGCCCACTAGCTCATGTCAACAGTGATGTTACAGGTCTGTGTCAGCAACTGTTTTGACACCAAAGTTCTCTCTCCATAGATGCAACTTATGCAAAAGGATTAAGTGTTTACATACATTGTCATGAAAGCATAATCACTTGATAATATGTTACTCATTCTAACTTCTGACACATATACCTTCATACAAGTATTTAACATAAATAATCAGTGCTTTACATATTCAGTTATTCTACACAATCAGCCATTCAGTAGCCTTCTCCTAGTGTTGCTCCTGTGCAGGCATACTCATCTTACACAGACATATCACTGTATTTTTAACACAGGCTGGCATGTTTGCTGCAAACACTACATACATTTTGTAAAGAGAAAATTAACTGCTTTACACTTAGAAAATACTTCACACTGAGAGAATAGAAATCTTCTTCAACTGCCACCTGGTGGTGCAAAGAGAAATTGATATGAACTTTTTTAGATCGCTTTAGTACAAATTTTGTATAATAGAAATGCACAATATGTGACTTTTTGAAAGCAATAATACATTTATGCAGTCATGAACATGTTTTGACAGTTAATATGCCAGTGATTTAATGCTTCACAAAAGTTGCAGATGCCTTTACCAATATCAAAATGTTTTTGTAAACAACTAGTTATTCTTTACACTGATTAAAAAAATGGCTACTATAATAAGGAAAATCCTCTCTAAATGTAGAACTAAATACACTGATATACATTGAAATACGATGAATACTCTTGAAACATGAACGTGTAAAGCCTGCAGCTCATAACAAATGTGTAAAGTTATTGCGTGTCATATTTAACAAACCGTTTACTGCTAATTTGATGTAGGATAATTTTGCTCACATAGATAATTGAATATTAATCAGATGATGTCATTATGCTGCTGTGCCGTCAGCCAATCGTTGCATTGCTAATCATGATTTTGAGGATCGATAGATCTGTCCTTCACAACCAGTGTTGGGAAGGTTACTTTGGAAATGTAATAAATTACAGATTACAAATTACCCTATTTAAAATGTAATAAGTTACAGTAATGTTCGATTACTTTATAAAAGTAAAGTAACTAATTACATTGGATTACTTTTTGATTACTTTTAATTTTCTAATAAACATTTTCAACTAAATTTTCAAGCATTTATACAGAGCAGGAGTGAGCTTACATTAGCTCCATTTACAGTTGAAATCTCAAAAGCTTTCATCACTTCAATAAAATTAATTTCATTAATTCAAATTTAAAGTAGAGCCTCCACAAAACCAGACCTTATCACAAAAACATGTTTACTGTTGTTACAAAAATCAAAATTTTAACTAGTTGTGCAGGTGATTTATGTGGCATTTGCAATAAAAAATACATCTAATTTGTGCAATTTTCATTTTTTATATCGAAGCCACAAATTCAATTCAATCGCATCTTAGTGATCAATAAAACTGCCAATGAAACATATAAGGCAGAACTGTTCATTTTAATTATTTACTGTAACTAATATGCTGTACTAAACAGGAATAAATTATAGTACATAACAGCAAAAACAATAAAATCCAATAAAACCAGGTGTTACACATTTAAAACAGTATTGATCCGCGATCTGTAAGTGTAGCTTGTTTGGACACTACTGCGCTACTTCACTAATAAAATAGCTTCGCTACTGTGAAAAGCTATTTGATTTTTTAGCGACGCTACCGCCACTCTACTGAGAAATGTAGTTAAGCTAGCAACACTGTTAAATGTGATAACATCACTTTGGTCAGAGGAGTCTGCTGATGCCCTGAAATTCCCAAATCGATAACTTTGTTAGTCATAACATATAATTGGAAATGAAAGAGTCTGCTTTTATTTCTGTGCACTCACGATACTGACAAAAAACATTTTTGCTTTTATAAAACAAGGAAAGGCTAGCTTACACACCTGCAGATGCTTCCTCATGCTTTTCAATGGCAAAGAGGATTAGATGTGGTGTGCCCATGAGCATTAATTTGATTTAACATTAGGGATGACAATAAATATAAAATTTCTTTTGAGCAATTTTTTGAAGTGGACACAAATAATACAGCCAAATTGTACTTCTAAAGAAATGTCCCCACAGTTAAAAATGGTTTTATTGTTCATATTACAGCATGGAGACTACATTATAGTTATTTTCAAAGTTTTTCTCAGGTTCAATGACAGCAAATTTTTCTTGAAAACTATTTATTGCATTGTTTGTTGTGTTGTTTACAGTCAACAAACTGACTCCTGAAGCAGAATAAATGCAGGAAAAGACATTTTCCATTATCATAATAACTAACTTGTTTACATTACACTTGTTAAATTGGCAGATCATATTGTAAATCAGTGAGCCTGTTAGGTTCATCTGCTAAACAGCCACAACTCCGAAAACATAAAAAAGAAATTGTTCACCCCAAAAGAACTGTCATTATCCCTTCAATAAAGCTCAACACCCTTACCTGACACTGTACATCTGACTGACCCTGCTCTGCCTGTTCCTCAATCATTTTTTTTCTCCTCTGCCTGTGATTGATAATGTGACATTAGTATTTTCATAAGAACTCATTCTGATAGCCAAATTGCTTAATATGTGAACTTTTTGTACTTGTTGTTTAGGTGCACTAAAAAATTATCTTATGTCCATTGTCCTTTTCTCTGTCATTTTATCATTGAGGTAAAGTTGGTTTTATATTCGCACATTCAGTCTCTCATTAATAATATAATCTCAGAAGAGTATTCATTGGAAAATCTAAATAGTAAAATCATATTAGCAACCAACAACCATCAAAGTACAGCATTGTTTACAACCAATTAAATAGTGCTAATATTATATTGTTTACCTATAGGTTCTATAAAGACGTTGTAACTGATACAAAATACAGCAACCAGAGTTTTAATGAAATTGAAGACACAAGAACATATCACACCAGCATTAATAGAATAGATTTTAAGATTATTTTATTAGTTTAAGGCACTACACAACATGACACCTTCTTACTTTTCTGACTGCTTATCAAAATATAATCCAAACCGTTTGCTACGCTCTTCTAGCGCTCGACTTTTAGAATTTCACTCTGTAAATCTGATGCGATCTGGCGGAACTTTTTTTAGTCACTATGCTGTAAAAATTTGCAATTGTCTCCCAAATAAAGTGAAAGAATCCCCCAGAATTGATGTTTTTAAAAAAGCTTGTTAAGACACACCTTTTTAAAATTGCGTATGAATATAACAGTTTGTGAAGTTTATGCAATTTATGTATATTGTGTAGGTTTATGTATATATTATGTATGGTGTGTGCATGTATGTAAAGAATATTGTGTGTGATTGAGTAGATGTATGCATATATGGGTGTACATGTATGCTTTTATCTGAGTATATATTTTACTTCATTTGTCTATAAATGTTTTTATTTGGTTTATTTTGCAATGCCTGTTTGTTATTTGTGAAGTGCTTTGAGTAGCATGTAGGTAGGAAAAGTGCTATACAAATAAAATATATTATCATTATTAATGTTGTTTTGAAGTCAAACTTACATGGGATTTCAGTTTGAATATACAAAGTACTATGGTAAACAATGTATGGAGCAGCCACTGAAAGAATGTGCGAATATAAAACCAACTCTACCTTAATCATTTTATCTAGTCCGTGACACTGCAATGCAAGTTTATTTATACTGTAGCACATTTTGCTTTACATAAAGAACGAAAAACTATCATAAA